GAACGCCTAATCCTGTTCAAAATACACCAGTTACCGACCGCTCCCACGCTTTATTCAGAAACTTATTCCCGCGCTGCAAGAAATCTGGTCGGGTCCCGCGGTACAGCCGCAGTAATGCAGACCTTTAATGTGCTGTCCATGTTTCAACATATATATTTTTTTTTATATTTTATGCAAAGTTTATCTGTTTAAATAATATTTTTATTTTAAATTTAGATGAAATGCCATCATCAGATTGCAGAATAATACAAACATAACACTGTAAAAACATTTTACATTTCATTATTACATTTCTACATCTTAGTATGGTTGAACTCACATGGTTGGTAAAACAAAGCCCATTTCTTTTACTATTTATTCTCTGCTCTGTTGTTGTAATTATTCTTGCTTGCAATTTGTTTATTAATATTTATACATAATTCACATCCTTACAAAACCACCCCAATCAATCTAAAGTCAAGATTTTTATCCAAATAGAGCTACTCATGCCATCTGTTGAAATTGTATATATATATATATATATATATATATATATATATATATATATATATATATATATATATATATATATATATATATATATATAAATAATCGCAGTAACACAAAATATACCAATGTTAGATTTATCCAATATCATGGAGCCCATGTGCAGTGAAAGAGATGGTCTGGATGAGTGAGTGAGAGCTGAAGGAGGAGACGAAGGGGAGTCGCTGTGTCTAACGTTTACACCCTCTATTAACATGACAAAGACACTCAGCACAGTCCTGGCCCTGACCTTCAGCCCTGAGCGGGTGTGAGAGAGGAAGTGTTGAGCCCGGAGCTCCTTCATTCTGCAGCGCTGCCGTCCTCCCGTATTATCATGCTGATCCTCTGAGCAACACAAAGCCATCGAGCAGCAGAGCGAGACCCAATTTCATCATTCAACAGGCCTCAAGTGGCTCCAGCCATGAAAAGCACACTGTAAATACAGTCATTTCACATGCTGCAGGTCATTATTATGTAATTGTCAGGAAATACAGCTGTTTGAAATTGATTTATTTGCATTGTCGCAAAAATGAAATCCTAGCTATTCAGTAACAGAGAATGACAAATATATGTAACCCTGAACCACAAAAAACATTATATTTTCAGCAAATAAAATCAACAACAACAACAAAAAAATAATACATACAAAAATACAATAAGGTTTCATTAGATTCATAATGTAATTATTAACATGAACTAATATTGAGCAATACTTGTACAGCCTTTATTAATGCATTATTAACATTCAAATCTATGCTTGTTAACATTCGATTTTTTTTCTTCTTTTTTAAATATTTTCCAAATGATGTGTAACAGAGCAGGGAAATTTTCACAGTATGTCTGATAATATTTTTTCTTCTGGAGAAAGTCTTATTTGTTTTATTTCAGCTAGAATAAAAGCAGTTTTGAATTTCTCATGAACCATTTTAGGGACAAAATTATTAGCCCCTTTAAGCTATATTTTTTCTCGATAATCTACAGAACAAACCACTGTGATACAATAACTTGCCTAATTACCCTAACCTGCCTAGTTAACTTAATTAACCTAGTTAAGCCTTTAAATGCCACTTTAAGCTGTATAGAAGTGTCTTGAACAATATCTAGTAAAATATTATTTACAGTCATCATGGTAAAGATAAAATCAATCAGTTATTAGAAATGAGTTATTAAAATTACTATGTTTAGAAATGTGTTGAAAAAAATTATTAATTATAAATTTTTCATTAATTTATTAATTTAGGGGGGCTAATAATTCTGACTTCAACTGTATACATACACACACACACACACACACACACACACACACACACACACACACACACACACACATATATATATATATATATATATATATATATATATATATATATATATATATATATATATATATATATATATATACTTAATATATAATATATATTAATATACGTATATATTATAATACATATATATATACGTATATACATATGCACATATACACATACACATATACATATATATATATATATATATATATATATATATATATATATATATATATATATATATATATATATATATATATATACACATGTAATTTATTTAAGCTATAAATTCTGAAGCTGAAAACAAAACAAAAAATCTTATGTTGCATGGATATTTTTTAAGCAATCAACAAAAAATGCATTGAATGGGTTAAAATTAGTAGTATTCTATTAAAAATCATTTGGATATTAAGTAGAGATTATGCTCCATGACATTTCATAAAGGTTTTGCCTACTGTAAATATATACTTTTTTTGTATTTTACCCTGAACCACAAATCAAAACCAAAAATCTTATGTTGTGCGGGTATTTTTTTTTTCCAAGTCAACAAAATATACATTTAATGGGTCAAAATTAGTACTTTTTACTAAATAATCATTTAAATATTAAGTAAAGATCATGCTCCATGACATTTTGTAAAGGCCTACTGTAAATATATCTTAATGTATTTTTTAGTAATATAGAATGAACCACAAAACAAAACAAAAAAATATTATATTGCACAGGAATGTTTTAGCAGTCGACAAAAAATACATTGAATGGGTTAAAATTATTTTTGCTTACTTAAAAATCATTTGAATATTAAGTAAATATTATGTCCCATTACATTTTGTAAAGGTTTTCCTACTATAAATATATTAAAATTATTATTTTTTTTTAGTTATTATTCCTGAACCACAAGACACCAAACCAAAAATCTTATGTTGCACGTGTATTATTTTAGCAATCAACAAAATAAACATCCATCGGGTCAAAATTATTAATATTTACCTAAATATCATTTAACTATTAAATAAATATTATGTTCCTTGAGGTTTTGTAAAGGTTTTGCCTGTTGTAAATATTAAAATAATTAAGTTATTTGTTATACTCTCAGTACAGAAATTTTTTTAAGCAAAAGTTAAGCAATCGACAAAAAAAAAAAAATATATATATATATATATATATATATATATATATATATATATATATATATATATATATATATATATTAGTATCAGGAGTCAAAATTATTATTAATTTACTTAAAAACCATTTAAATAATAAATCAAGATCATGCTTCATGACACTTTGTGAAGGTTTTGCCTACAGTAAATATGTCAAAATGTATTTATTTTTGTAATATACCCTGAACTTCATAAACAAGACCAGCAATCTTATATTCATAAGATCTCTTATACTTTATGTTTTAGCAGTAGACAAAAAATACATTAAATGAATAAAAATGATTATTACATAAAACTAATTTGAATATTAAGTAAAGATCATGCTATTTTGTAAAGGTTTTGCCTACTGTAAATATCAAAGTAATTTTTTGTTATGCCCTTAAGCACAAAAAAAAAACAAAAAAAATATTATATTGCAAAGGAATGTTTTAGCAGTAGACAAAAAATACATTAAATGGGTCAAAATTATTAGTATTATTTACTGAATAATCTTTTGACTTAAGTAAATTTTGTGTTTCATGAGGTTTCGCAAAGGTTTTGCCAACTGTAAATATTAAAATATATATTTTTTTCTTAATTCTCTCACTACAGAAACTCTTTTAAGCAAAAGTTAAGCAATCGACAAAAAAAAAAACATTAACATTCAAAATGTGTATTAGTTTACTTAAAAACCATTTAAATAATAAGTAAAAATCATGCTTCATAACATTTTGTAAAGGTTTTGCCTACAGTAAATATCAAAATGCATTTATTTTTGCAGTATGCCCTGAACCTGAAAAACAAGACCAGCAATCTTATTTTTTATAAAATTTCTTCCATATTTTCTTATATATTTTCTTATGTTTTAGCAGTAGACAAAAATACAATAAATGGATCACAAATACTATTATTTACTTAAAAATCATTTGAATATTAAGTAAAGATCATGCTATTTAGTAAAGGTTTTGCCTATTTTAGTAATATAGCCTGAACCACAAAACAAAACAAAAAAAATCAGATTTTGCATTTTGCAGATTCAGCTTATTCTCATAACACTACAATTAATATGTGGCGTTTAAAAGTAGCCTACATAAACATAGTAAAGTTGTCCTTTCTCTTTATTTATTTATTTATTTATTTAATTTTTTATTCAAGAATGAAAATATACAACCTGCAATCAGGAGATCAATATAAGAGAGATACAAAAGAGGAAAAAGTCTAACTACATTAGCTGCATAAAGAAAAAAAGACTAACAAAACAAAGGAAGGGGTAAGTACCCAGATAGCAGGCAGTAATCGGCCCGAGCTCGGCTGCCCCCCGGCGCCTCCGGCTCCGACTCGGCATCGGCGAGTGTTATAGCAGCCGAAGTTGGGCCGAGGGGTTAGTCTCCGGCAGGCGACAATCTAGCCGGAACTGGCCCGAGTGTATTTTGCTATCTGGGTAAATTACAATTGTTTTAAAGTGTATGAAAATAAATAAATTAAGAGCATTACAGGAAAGCTATCTAACTCAAATCAGAGTCTTTAGACAACAGTTCTTCATTTAGAACCAATAATCTGACACATTTTTTGGTTGTTACACAAAGATTTAAGCAGTGAGTCACATCAATCAGAAAATGTCGAAAAGTAGGGACTGAAGCCCTATATAAATAATAAACTCTCCATTCATACAACAGTATGTTGATGGAAATTACCGTTACTATGGCAGCACGTGTTGTGGTTGTTGACAAAGATGTTACAGTTTATCTTATGAAGCCTCTTCATTCGACGATTATGCTATATTGTGTGGGAAATGTTACACAAATCTGCCCTCTCAAGTGTAGCGAAACAATTTCACACTCAAACACGATCGAGCGTGAGAGTGAACGCGCGGCGCGTGCACGACCAAGGCGAGAGCGCGCGTAGAGGCGGTCCGGCTGCTTCAGTTTCTGTAATCGCTTTTTTTCTGCTACCTTCAGTTAAATAGCGACGAGACGAGAGAGAGCGGACGGCCCGACTCTGACTACACTGTATCATTCAGGAAAAGCGAATCGGGACTCCACATCGACGGCCGCTCGGCAGGTAAATATCCTTGCTTGTCCGCCGGAGCCCCTCGACCGTGCGTGAAAACTCGCTAAATGTCCCGCGAAAGTGGTTGTTTTTTGCCCTCGGTGTGCGGGGATGTGCGGGACGAGCCTTCTCCTTTGTGCTCATCGTGGTCATCATGGGGGAATCGCTGCGTGGTTTCCCCCTCGCGCTTTTTTTCTCGGCTTTTTGGCAAATATCGTCGCGGAATCTCGACGGCTCTCGACGGGAGCGTTTGATCCGCATATTTTGTGCGGGATCGAGAAGCGCTCGCGGCCTCCCGCATAAATAGACGCTCCTACATTAACGCGCATCGCGCACGCAGCTGCTGCAGCGGCGGGGTTTCTGCGTTTGCAGCGCAGTCTGACAGCCAGGTGCTTCAATGATTTCTCTAATGCCCTTCAAATTGCAGTGTACACCACATATGTACTGGCAGGTAGGTGCTCGGAGTTCTTCAAATGGAGAAAAGCCTTGATACTGTGGTGACACCCTTTTGGAGTGTTTTGCTGGAAGGGGAAATAGGAATTGCATTCCACAGTGCATATTTCTATATTTTGTTTTATAAATAAGCCACTAAATGTGATGTTTGGGGACTTCATTATTACACTTTGTGCGTTTAAATAATATATTGTGTCCATGAGATAAACGTGAGGCATAGAAGATTTTATGTAATGACAATTGCTTGTATTGGGGGCATACAATCAATATGGATTTATTTACATGTTACTTTTGTCCAAAGCAACCTGCTTTTCTGGGGAATCAAAGCCATAACCTTGGCATAGTACAATGCTCTGTTTGAGTTACAGGATGGCAAATTGACAAAATATTTGCATTAAAATGCATGATATTTTGGTTATTTGGGATCATAAAACCACATGCTTTTTTTGTATTTTATGTTAAAATTGTAACATTTTTGCACTGACTTTGCATTCAATTATATTGTGTCCATTAGAAAAAAGCTGATATAATTTATTAACAATTGCTTGTATTTGAGGAAAATAGGTGATGCATAATATCAATTGGGCAAAAAAAAGATTTATTTACATGTATGCATTTGGCAGACACTTGTCTAAAGCAACTTGCTTTTATGGGGAATGAAAACCACAACATTGGCATAGTACAATGCTCGACTATTTGAGTTACAGGATGACAAATTAGCAAAATATTTGCATTAAAATGAATGATATTTTGGTTATTTGGGATCATAAAACCACATTTTTTACATGGTAACATTAAAATGGTAACATTATTGCACTTTGACTGTGTTCATGAGAAAAAAAGCTTATATGTTTTATCGGCAATTGCTTGTATTGGGGAAAATGTGACAATATTAGTTTGCCATTAAGATTTATTTACATTTATCCATTTGGCTGACACTTTTGTCTAAAAGCAATTTGCTTTTCTGGGGAATTGAACCCACAACCTTGGCATAGTAACACAATCTACTATTTGAGTTATTTAGGATCATAAAACCACATTTACTGCATTTTATATTTACATTAAAATCGTAACATTATTGCACTTTGACTGTGCGTTCAATTATATCATGTCTATGAGAAGAAGAAAAAAAGCTGAGATAATGTATTGACAATTACTTGTACTGGGAAAAATAGGTGATGCATAAAATCAGTTTGGCATTAAGATTTATTTACATGTATCCATTTGGCAGACACTTTTGTCCAAAGCAACTTGCATTCCTGGGGAATTGAACACACAACCTTGCCTTAGTACCATGCTCTACAATTATAGCTACAGGAAGGCTTTAAGATCAAATATTTGCATTAAAATGGATGATATTTGGGATCATCAAACCATAGAAACTCATCTTTGTTGGAGTGTTTTGCAAGAAAGAGAAAAGAATTGTATTCCAAAGTGCATATTTCTATATTTTGTGGTTAAATATATGCCCCTGAAGGTTGTTTATTGACTTAAAATTGTAATATTATTGCACTTTTTCTGTGCGCTAAAATATATTATGTCTATGAGATAAATGTGAGAGAAAAAAATTGCTATTATTCATTGATAATTAATTGTATTTGGAAAATATCAGTATGAAATTAAGATTTATTTACATTAATTCATTAGTCAAAAAGCAACTTGCATTACATTGAAGGTGTCTTGCTTTCCTGGGGAATTGAACCCACAACCTTGCCATAGTACCATGCTCTACTATTTGAGCTACAGGAAGGCTTTAAGAACAAAATATTTGCATTAAAATCGATGACATTTGGGATCATAAAACCACAAAGCGTACAGGGACTCGTCGCTGTTGGATTGTTTTGCTAGAAAGGGAAAAAATAATTGTATTCCAAAGAGCATATTTCTATATTTTGTGGTTAAATATACACATCTGAAGGTTGTTTATTGACTTAAAATTGTAAAATTATTGCACTTTTACTGTACATTTAAATATATGATGTCCATGAGATAAACTTGAGAAAAAAAAGCTGCTATAATTAATAGATATTTGATTGTTTTGGAAAAATAGGTGATACATATCAGTATAAAATTAAGATTTATTTACATTTATTCATCTGGCAAAAAGCAACTTGCAGTGCATTGAAGGTGTCTTGATATTGGAAAAATCTAACATTGCAGTATTTTTTTATTCTGCGATATATATTGCGATGGGAATATAATGTACCTAGATGTGCTGAATAACTATTTGGAAAAAATAACATTTTAGATGGATTTGGGATGATTCTGTAGCGGATTGCATATGCATAAGAAATAATCTGAGGATTTTATTCAATAAAGATAAAGATACAAATTAAATAAACAGCATGTGATTGTTGAACTGTATTCAAGTGTACAATAATTGAATAATGCAATCTAAAATAATACAGCACAGTCTTCTTTTATAAACAATTAATTTATTGTTAATTTGTCACAAACAGCAATATTTCGTAGGCCTGAATGCTTTTAAAATGCCTCACAGGTAGGCCCACCCGGACTCTGCGCTCTCAGAATTCCACAGATTCTCCACAGATTTTTAGCCCGTCATTAATTCTGTTTATTTACTTGTGTAAATGTGTGCAAATCTATATTTATCCAGTTTTTAAATTAATTACAGTAATATTATTGACTAATGTGAAAATGTTTGTCTGATTTATGTACAATGCAGTTTGTAAAGTAATATTTTCTGTCTTTTACTAGATATATTACATGACAAACTTGCTTTATTTACCAAATAAAGTGAATCTAATTGGATTTGCATTAAGTTAAAAAGATTTTATTTTTTATTTCATATATTAAGGTTTTAGTTATGATACTCCCAAAATAATTCCGCAGAAATCCGCAGATTTTTATCAAAATTCTCAGCAGAAATAGCAAAAAACGTCCGCAGATTCCGTCTGGCCCTACTCACAGCCCACAAAAAACAGTTGCGAAATGATCAAATTATAATCCAGACTCAATATTGCATATACTCGATGTGTTTATTGCGAATGATCACATTGCGACATCGATGCTCAAATGACGTAATGTGCAGCCCTAGTGTCTATCTTTCCTGGGGAATCAAACACAAACATGCTCTAAGCAACAGGAAGACATTATGTTCAAAATGATTTGCATTAAACTGCATGGTATTTGCATTATAATGCATGATATTTTGGTTATTTGTTACCCCAAAGCGTACAGACACTCAATACACAACATATATGTAGAGTGGCATCCAATAGGGTGTATTTTGAGGTTAGAAATACGCCAAAAGTTAATTCTGTTGGCCTAAAATGATGCATACTTTTATTGTGGTATTGGTTTGCCCTGCATGATTTTATCCCCGGTAAATATTTGATTGACATTATTCCTTCTAAACATACATTTCTGCGTGCTTAAAGTGTTAAAGCAGTGGCATAACCGCAGTGTGTACACTGAAATATTGAGTTGCGTTTCTTGCTCGCTCCGTGTGAGCCGTGTGAGGTTGAGCCATTTAATTTCAGTCCAGATCTTAAGCATTAAGATACATTACCTCTGAATGAGTGATCCAGGGACTAAAGGTCGCTAAACAGAATCTGAGACTCACACGTTGATGTGATTTATCAGTGACTGGAATGAAACCCTCTCCGTTCGAAGGCAAATAACTCAAGCAGGAGCGTAAACGGAGAGTATTGTGTTTAAAAACGCACTGTATTTGGATTTGGAGCTGTTAACGCTCTGGCATGGCTGCGTGTGCGCGGCAATTTAAATGTTTTATGACTCATTTCCCACATTATCACAAAACGAGTTGACCCGTAAAATCCACTCTCAGAAGTGTTAATACCTTCCTGTTGGGGTATCTGTGATCATTCACGACTTGGATTTAAAAAAGAGATGACCTGACTCTGAGTTTATCCCATGAACACCTGGCTCGGCGACTTGGGCATCTTTGAAGTGATCTTTCTGTTCTCAGTATGCCTCCATTCTCTCTCTGCGTTCATGTTTTATCTCGGTTTAAACGCTGAGCTGAGAGAGCGCAGGTTTCATAGGCATTTATTAGCTGGACCCGTGTGATCAGAGGGTTTTCCTCGCTGCCGTTTCTCCTGATAACATCAGAAAGAATTTCTCCTAGTCGTCTGAAAAGTGCAGCATCACCCACACAGATCAGATAAACATCTCACCGATCAAACGTTTGAGAGAATAGTATTATTTTATTTCAGTGTACTTCCTGTGACTGTACAGGAAATGCCTTCTGAATGAAAAATGGGCCATCACTGTACTGTGTGATGACTAAAGTTCTTGTGTTTTGCTGTTTGCAATGTTTTTATTAAAGGGATAGTTCACCAAAAAAATTAAATGTACTCTACATTCACTTACCTTGAGGTAATTCCAAACTAGGGCTGCACAATATATCGCATAATTATCATTATTGCAACAATAGTGTATGTAAGATCTGTATCGCAGACATGTGTGGTAAATTACATTTATTAATTTGTTTACCCAAAGGTGAACCCAGAGCTGAAAATAAATACTTATGCCAGGAATCAAGATGAGAGAAGAAAATAACAACAGCCAATCAGAGTCAGAATATCTGCCGAGGTTTTCATTTAAATCAATAAAATTAACTTTACTGTCTATCCCACAGGGGTTAAAAACTGTCTTTAGACACACTGAAAAAAGTGTTGCATGCAGAACTGTTGCAAACAATTTCTTTGTGTTAAATTTAAACAAACAAATTAAATGTAATAATGTTCAACTCAAATTGTTTGTTTAAATTCAACACAAAAAATAGTTTACAACCACTTAACGTAAAAAAAAATTGAGAAAATCCAAGGAATCATCTTTGAATATCTTTTTTTCAGTGCATAAGCTCACACACAACAACAAAACATAAATACACTTACACATCTATTTAAAAAACCTACTTAAAAAACAATGGAGTTGGCGCCAATAGCCTTAAGTGCGCTGAAATATAGCACCATGGTGCTTATTGTGACCCGAGTTCCTGGCTCGAGGTCCTTCTCTGACCCTTCCCTTCTCTCTGCTCCCCTCACTTTCCTGTCTGTAACCTCCACTGTTCTCAGTGGCTGTTCTAGCTTGAATAGCACCCTGGGTAAATCACCCCATATATATGCCAGCCACCCCCACCCCCTCTCCCCCAGTTAGGTTACATCTAGTTAATATAAAAAAGGACCATGAAACATGTACATTCTAAAAAAGTTTGTTGTTTTACCCCAACTTTGGGTAAAATATGGATAAAACCAGAAATGTAATTATTAAAAATATTCATATTTATTATAAATAAAATTAATATTAATCTTACTGTTGTTGTTTTTGTTGTTTTACAATTATTATTCTAAATAAATAACAGTAATCAACCCTAAATGTACTTGGAAAACAATGTAAAGACCAAACTGGAGTGATATGCTGAGATCACTTAAGAAATCTTTGGGATAAATATTAATTTTGACCATTCTATAAAATACAAAAAAATATATTTGTTTTATAGAAATATCTGTTCACCTTAGACACGACTCAAGGCAGAGAATTAATTAAGTCTTACTTCCTTGACTCTTTATCCCTATACTTTCTGCTTCGTAGCCATGCTTAGTCAAAATAAGATCATCATCATATTATATAAACCTCAGTTTTGTCAACTAACAAAACTCGCTGCGTGCAGACACCCTGGTTCTCTGTGCGCATGCATCAGTTTGCTTGCACCAGCGTTTTTTTTGTTGCACATAGAGAAAAACAAACTTGCACTTACAACAGAGGCCAGATATGAGTGGCCCCTATTGTCTTTATTCTGGGATTAGCCTACCTCTCTTGGGATTAATACACTTGCATAAAATATATCGTATCTCAAAGCATACTGAGGCACAAATGATTTTTACTGGGGCACCTTTTTTTTTTTTTTTTTGCACTGTCTCTGTGTGCCACTCCTTGCAAGATGCCACCCTGGGCAATCGCCCATATTGCCCATGCCTAAATCCACCACTGACTGTTTTATCCAAATTAAAGGTGAAAAACCCCTAAAAATAATTATATTATAAAAACCCAATGGCAGTGGGAATAAATGTCTTTTTGCACTTAGAGTTTTTGCTAAGAGTGGAGGATTTTTTTATTTTGATAATTTTTTTTTATAAATAAGTCAGTGAGAGGTGTTTGTCTCTCACTAATTACTTTACTCGCTGCATTTAGTGATCTTTAACGTTTCTTTTTGCTTTGAACAGAGAGGGAGTTAAACCGGGCTACAATGTTAGTGTCAAAAGACTAAATGTTTGCACCTTGCCTTTTTTTTTCTGAATTAGAATTAGATGTGAAAATAATGTTTTACTTGTTCATTTTATTATCATTAAATAAATACATGATTTAAATACAATAAATAATTTCATTTTATTTCTAGAGAAATGGTATATTGTAAGGAATATTGTTAAATCACAATACTCAATAGCAATACCACAAAATATATATTGAAGAATGTTGGAACATAGTGTAACATTTGCATCCATAGTAGGAAAAACAAATACTATAGATGTCAGTGGCTACATATTATTATTATTTTCCAAAATATCTTTTGTGTTTAAGAGAAATAAGAAACTGTCAGGTTAGTGACAAGTGAAGGGTGTGTAAATGATGAGTTTTCATTATCTCTTTAATTCTATAATTGGACATTTATTATTAAGTGAGAAAGGAAAATCCAATAAGGAGGGAAATGATCCATCATTTGATAACTGATTACTCTGAGAAAAGTGACTCGTGCTTATCAGAATGTGCATAACATTAGCATGAAATATTTAACATATCATTTTGTTATTTGGAATAATTAGCATTTATTCATTCATTTTCTTTTCGGCTTAGTCCCTTTATTAATCTGGGGTCGCCACAGCGGAATGAACCGCCAACTTATCCAGCAAGTTTTTATGCAGTGGATGCCCTTCCAGCCGCAACCCATCTCTGGGAAATAATTAGCACTTCTTTTTATTATTATTATTTTTCTTTAAAATGATAGTGTTGCATTAAAACTAACTCATTTCACACATGTACATGTAAAATCTAATCAAATGAGGTTAAAAATAATGGAACTGGAAGTGTTGAAAGTTGTATTTATTTTGAGGATGGGGTTTGTATATATTTTTTAATCTTTCACAGATTTTTTGTAGATTTTGCCATTTGCAAGATTTAAAAAAAATAAATCATATTTTATTCATATGCACACGTCTGACATAAAATCTATGCTATTATTTATACAAGAGGCTTATATAAATGCAACTTTAAGAAGCTATAATAGGATCTTATTTAATTTAAAGCAATGGCCTTGAAGCAAATACAAACCCTTAACCCTTATGTGCTGTTGAGGATGTTTTCATCCACTCTGGGGTGATTTTGAGTCTTAATTTGGCCATATCTTTCTCTGTGTTTCATCTAGCAGAATGATTTTTGGTGACAAATCTTATTTTGACACTTTTTTTGAGAAAAAAATCTTAATAAAAAAAAAAAAAAACAATGCACTCTGGGCAAATTTACCACCATTTTGTTATGTTTGGGATTAACAAATCCACTAAATTAAACTGCTGTAAAATGCATCAGATAAATATTTAATTTTTTCAATATTTTTTGCATAAATCTGGTAATCAACTTCAGTCTTGATGAAAACTAATAAATTGCTTAGAAAATTTTAGGATTTCAACTCTTTTAATTGCCAAATTCATAAATGATGTCACTGATTTAGTGGGGAAAAAACACAAAAAAATGACGTATTTTCAATATAAAAAGTAATTGTGGACTGGATTTTTTTTACCTTTATCAAGCTTAGTTTTTAGATTTTTTTATGGACCATAACAGCAATTTAAAGTGCGTTTATGTGTGTCTGTGAGTGTGTGAAAGTGACCTTTGCGCATTTACCTTGATGTGTCTGAGAAAATCAAAATATGCATCCCAGCTCTCAGAACTACATGGAGTAAACAAAAACAACGACTGTGTATTTTTTCACCATCAAATGTGGTTATAATGGAAATTATGGAAGTCAATAGGGCAAAAGCAGTCACCAACAATAAATTAGGGAGAGAAAAAAAAAGAAAATCAAACAATGCATTAAAGGCAATATTGTCAATAATCGTTCACATGTCCAAGACTGTGATAAAAGGTTTTAAATAATCCAGTCCACAATAGTTTTTTTATATTAATAAATTCATTTTGTGTTTTTTCACCAAATCAGTGACATCATTAATGAATTTGGCAATTAAATGGTTAAAATCCTGTAATTATTTTAAATATTTAGTGATTTTGATCAGGACTGAGGTTAACATTTCTGTAAAAAAAATAATAATAAAATATATATATATATTTTTGTATATATTTTGGATGTATTCAATTTTGAAAAGTGTGCAAGGGTTAAAGAAATCTGCAAGAATTATGGATTGAATTGAATGTTAATTTTTTTATGATTTACAAATCATTTTAATTAATTTGGACAGTTTAATCTTATGATAAATTTGTAAGCAGCAGAATAAATGATGTTTATTAATTTTAGCTCAGACCTACAATTAGCTTCACAAAAACAATCACTGCAATAGCTAATCTAATTCCTCTGTCTTCTACTCCAGTTTAAAATCACTGTTTTATTTGTCTTAATTCAGCACAGCTGTAATTAAAACAACTATTGACTTCATACCCCTGTGACTTCACCCCGGCAGCCTGCTAATGTAATCGTGTGCGAATCCGCTTGTTTTTTCCAGGGCCAAGATGTCTAGTGAGGTGCAGAGACCAGATGATAGCCCCAGCACAAGCGGAGGGAGTTCAGATATCGAGCAGCGGGAGACGGCACCTCCTCAGCAGGAGCGGGATCTGGTTGCGCCCAAGAAGAAGGAGACTAAGATCTCCAGTAAAACCGCAGCCAAACTCTCCACCAGTGCCAAGAGGTAACGCTCTTTTAATTAACAAATCCACTCAAGTGCTTCAAAAATAGCTGATTTGATTTAAAGGGGTAGCATAGAAGATATTTTAAGGAATGTTGGAAAGCAGTAATCATTGACTTCCATGGTATTTGTTTTCCCTACTATAGATGTAGGCCTGTCATGATATCTATAATTAATACTATACATTGCACCAAAATATATTGAGATAAATTATATTAGTCATTTTAAGACCATTTTAGAGCATATAATGCCAAAATGACAATACAATATCATCACAATGCATGTGCACTCTTCCAAAGAACACACAATATGTTTTATCTTAAGAATATTTCATTTAATTATAGTCATTTTAACAATTTAATTATGAGGCATTGGAATCAGAATGTGATCTCATATCCTAAATAAATAATAATAATTGTTAAAGAAAGTGCAAGATAAAAAAGTAACAGAGGCTGCAATATCTGCTACCAGATCAATTTTCAGCTGTCAGACACCCACATGAAAATATACTATAGTAATTTATAGTTAATACTATAGTGTTGTTTAACCATGCCGACACTGACGTCTAGAATAGTGATAGAGATATTGCGCAATCAGCTAAAAAGTTTCTAGAATTGTTTTTTATGTATGGGAGATATATTGCATCACCAAAAATGATTGAGGTCATGTCCATGTGTTGTGTGATAAATGCGCAATATCACACTTGTAGCAGTCCGATATGGCTGTATATCGACACTGGTGGGAGGCGTGCGTTGACTCGGGCCGCAGGCCGAGTGCCTTAGTGCCCCAACCAGTGCCGATATACAGACATATCGCCCTGCTACAAGTGTGATATTGCGTTTATACAACAGTTTGACGGCATAATTATGTATATATAAAAAAAATCAAACATGGAGAGTCTCAAAAATCCTTTTGTATGAGGAACTACTTTCTTCCGCGTTGGATTCAAATCATAAGCTGACAGTTAAACAGCTGAGCAAGCATCTTATAAACTTTAGATCTGTAGTGTCGGCTTTTTGCTGGCTGTATGTGGGCGGAGTAATACACAAAGGGTAAAGAGGCTTTACGGGTGCTGATATTACTTAAATATATCACGGCTATCAGCCAATCAGATTCGAGAACCAGACAGAACTGTTGTATAAGTTCATATATTGATCAGTTGTGAACGGTTTCAAACATTCTTCAAAATATCTTCTTCTGTTTTTAACAGAAAAAAATTATAGTTGTTAAGGTTGAGTAAATTGTTTTGGATGAATTATCCCTTTAAGGCTGCGTGTCCTCCGAAGTGTTTTTTCTTGAGCTGAGCATTTGTTTTCTGTTGTTGTCATCAATGGTAGTGCCTGCATTGTAGGGTAAAGTCTAGAAGGGATACAGCTGTGGATACACACGTCTATATAGCATACTTTTTGTGACACTGTGCTACAATAATTCATATTTTTACATTACTGTGAGGGTGGGGTTTAGGGTTGAGGTAGGGGTAGACATTAATAGAATACAATTACTGGGTAATTTAATAAATAACATGAATAATACTTTGCATATTTATTGTTTTTACAGTACTGTGACGGTTGGGTTGGGGTAGACGTTAATAAATAATATGAATAATATTCTGCATAGTTATTGTTTTTACATTACTGTGAAGGTTGGGTTTAGGGTAGACGTTAATAAAATACAATTTAATAAGTAATTTAATAAATAATATGAATAATACATTGCATAATTATCGTTTTTACAGTAATGTGATGATTGGGATTAGGGTTGAGGTTGGGGTAGACATTAATAAAATACAATTTATTGAGGAATTTAATATGAATAATACTCTGCATTGTTTTTACATTACTGTGAGGGTTGGGTTTCTGGTTAGGGTAGATGTTAATAAAATACAATTTATTTAGTAGTTAACAAAATGTAACTTAAGGATAATTTAATACTTATTATAAATAATTCTTGTTAACTTCCGGCCATAGCTGTATCCATTCTTGTAACAACCGCTGAGTGGCCGTTTTACAATTCTCAGCATTTTTTCAGCCATTGCTGGAAAATGCAACATGTATCTGTGTCACCTTTGAGCTAGACATCCAATCACAGTGGAGAAGGGGCGGGAAAATACCATGCAACTGTCAACAAATAATCTGCTAAAGACTTTCAGCTTGTAACAGTACAGCGGGGATACCTTATATCTTAGCAACCAATTGAAAGAACACTGTGCTACAAAAACGCTCACAACTTAGACTGTGTTCACCGAATTGTTTTTGCTAAGACGCAACGTCTTTTTAAAACATATTTTTATTGCAAAAACTCATTGGAAATATACATTGAGTAATAAGACAAATCCATCATTCATAAATATTTGAATCCTGACCCCCACGTGAAAAATTCTAATAAAAATAATACAATTTAATTGTAAATAAATAAACAAACAAATAAATAAAAAATTAAAGACCTAAAATACTAAATTGTTTTACAAAAAGGCAGATTGCATTTCTTTGGTCTTGGCTGAGTCTAACAGACAAGCTTTTAGTCTTAGAGACTTAGGGTTCTGGGACACAAAATTTTTAAGACTCAAATTTTATATTAAAAAGCAGCATCAGAATTGTTAAGAAAACAGTTTCGCAAATTAAATGGAACACCTCGTGTTCAAAACCATCAAAATATATTAGCGTCAACCCGTAGTTTGGATTTGTTCATTATTCTGGAGGCTAAGGTGGTTACACAACCTGCTCATCTTGGCATTGCTCTAATTTCTACTACGTAACAGATGAGTTTGGGGTTTTATTAGATGTATGTCTTTGCTTAATAGCAAAGAGGAAAATACTCTTTTCTCCTTTTGAATATTTGATACGGTTTATTTTAATATCATCAAATAATCACTCAAATGTATCAAAACTGTTAAAGTTAATAAGATGTAATTATTTTAAGATGTCAGATTTTTTCAATGGCCATTCGGTGATCATGTGAGAATGCGGTCCCTCTTGGCATTGCACTGCTATGTCTCATTTCCATTGAGTGACAAATGAGTGCCAGAATACCTAAGGATTTAATTAGATGCATGGATTTTGTTTGTTAGAATAATGAGAAATGCTTTCTCTTTTTTGATTGTTGATGAGCTTGTTTGTTTTACTAGCCTAACGATCTGTGGTTAGTTTTCCCTGTTAGAAAATGCTTTAGCGAATCTACATGACTGCTTAAAAATAGGTATTTTGCTTTGGAGCATGACGTAGAGACCCAACAGCGTGGAAATAGTTTACCAGAGGGAATTAAAATGAAACACTGAAGCTTCAACTACTTAAAATTATTAATGTGAAACTCTATTTAATGTCGTCTGGCTTATGTGAAGGGATTTTTGAGAATGAGATAATGTGACGTGTAAATTTGTGCCAGAATGATTGAGGAGGCTTTTGTTTGTTTGTGATAAAAGATGGGAAATGCCTTTCATCTTTTTATTTAATCTGATAATCTTATTATTTTTTTCACCAACTGTCTATGACTTGTTCATCTGGTTTTCTGCTAGAAAAGAGCTTCCAGTTGAGATGCACTGGTCTATTTTCTCTCTTATTCGCAGATGTTTAAACTTCTCATTGTCCAAGCTTTTAACTTGCAAACAAAATAACATGTTCGGATGCTTTTACTCCAGAGGGATCTCTGCGATCGCTCGAAAGCATGTAAGAACGTAATGTCTGTTTGCAGATGATTGTAGTGTGCTGAAGTCTGCTTCACTGCCTTTCTATTGTTCATTCTGTGAACGGGCCTCGCTGGCAAGGCTGTAGATTCTCTGAAGGCCTGACTGCAGTACGATGGCATTATGCAATCAGTTGAGCAAAGCTTTGCCTGGGACACGGTGCTTTTTTTATAACAGTGACTGCAGCATCCTGTTCCGTCTGTTTCTGAGTGCATATCAAGATCCAGACATTCGGAAGGTTTTTATCTGTGCTCGATGTTGCACAATTCAACAAGCCTCGGGGTTTCGACATCAAAGGTGTTTGCTCATGAAAGCAAACCGTTTTTGATGGTTTGGGCCTCCAAATTAAAGTAATTAGCCTGTGATTTCTTTTCTTTTTTTTTTTTTAGGAGCGATAGGAGTCAACTAAACTTTTGTGCTTTGCAACAGTTCATCTAAAAAGTACCATTGTATTTTACCTGTCCTCATGTTGCTCCAAACCTTTCTGTTAAAATGGGAGGGGAACTCTTCATTAAGTTACAGATATGATTGATTTGTTCTTAGTATAAAAAAAAACAATATTTAAAGCAATTCTGCATTAAAACTGCGCATTGCATTCATAATCATAATCAATTTTATGTGTATTTTAAAATATTAATTAAAATACAAATGATATATTGTTAAAATATAAATTAAAAAAAACTTCAGAGAACACGGGCTCATTCTGAAAACGTTGCCCTATATACATTTCCGGAGATTGCAAATTATGTAGCCAGGGAAACAATTTTGTCTTTAAAACGAACACTAAGGGGCGATATGACATTGTTCTTTTTTGCGCTAGCTTGTGACCGCTAATCTCCGTATGGACGCTGTTACTACTTTGTGCAGTGGCTCGTTGCGTATTTCAGAAAATTTGAGACACAGAGCGGAGTTGACTGTGACAACGGAGTCCAGCGAAAAACGGTTCCAGAATGCAGATAAGGCAAAAGCAAGAGCTAAAAAATAAAAACAAGTAAATAACAGAGTGAGAATGTGGTAAAATCTCAAAATGTAGTAAAATACAGGTGAGGGCTTTTCTTTTTCTGGATTGCTTTTTAAAACACTATCAGTTGGGTTTAGGGAAGTGAGTGGGCACTGGTCAATCGATGATTTTCAAAACACTATTGTTTGTGTTTAGGGATAGGGTGGGTGAGGGTTTCAGTCAGTCAGTCAGTCAGTCAGTCAGTCGACAATTGCCTCTGGTGGATTTATGCGAGAAGGGCATGCGCGAAGGGCACTAGCGAGAAAATTTTTAGATCAAAAAGCGTACACAGCAGCCTCTGGCAGATTCGCGAAAACAAAAAAC